AAAATTATAGTAAGACTTCTAGTTCATGTATGTAGAGTAGTATTTCTTAACCTAATGTCACATTAGAAATACCAGTGTTGCAGTCGAGTCCAGACAAATGGAGTCAGATTTTTGGGATGAGGCATGTGTCTGAAAATTAAATTATAGAGATAGAAATTGAGTATTATTAAAATGTGCCTTTTATAAATTATGTTTTTCATTGTATATTTCACATCCCAATTCTTTAGGGTCTTTTTCTGACCATTGTATTTAACAGAAAGATTTTTAATTTCATTGTATATATTTTCTTAGAAATTAAACATTAGAGCAATACAAAGTACAGAGGTATCATAAGAAATCTGTTCTTTAAATTTCAGTAGCATCCTTTGCCCTCTATAAATACACAAAAGAAATTTATCTTTTTTTATCCTCTAATAAATATTTCAGTCTCTCATAGCCAGGAAATTTTTTTATTATTAAGAAAATAATTAATTAGATCATCTCTACAAAATGTACATTAAAGCAACCCATCACTAAATGTTTTAGCTGTTTACCAACATGCAGAGTTACTATTTTCTATCTTCTCAATTGTGTTCTGTATTGGTAGCAACGACAGACCTTAGTTGGAGGCTGACAGTAAGGTGCTAGCATCCCAGTGTGGCCGGTCCCCTCAGCTCTGAAGGCCCTTGACCCAAATCACAGAAACAGTGAAGGTAGAGTTTAGCAGATGTGCTTACTTATGCAGTGATGTGGCACAATTGTCTGTTAAACTCAGATACTTTATTATTTAAGGTTTGAGTTGTACTAATTTTATTTTACCACAAGAGGTCCCCAGATCCTGTTTGATATTCTGCAGGCCATTTTACGTGCACACTGGACTGTTCAGCACTGCTGTTGTTTCCATGACACTGTAATAACCAGATTCTTAATATAGAAGAGCTAAACTTTTATTCTTTAATATAAAATCAGCTTTTTTGGAAATTTTGCTTTAAATTCCAGCAGGACAAAGAAAATGCCAGCATCTAAGGCTATAAGAGGCGGCAGGAAAGCCAGGGAAACGAGGTACATAACATGGCAGTCAAGTCGAATTCCTTTAGAGGTTAAGTGAAAACACAGGCTTGCTTTGCAAATTCAGAACAAACAAGACTATTTCTTTCCACCATAGGTCTAAATTCCCTGGCTTGTCCAATTAGTGTTAGTCCGTTAGTGCCATATTAAGCATGATTTTTATCATGGTTAAAAAAAAATGGACCAGAATTTTAGATACGAATGATTTAATAGTACATAAAGATTGCAGACAGTATTTGTCATGCACAGTTTGGCTGTATGTAAACATGAAAAACGTAGATGTTCTTGTGTTGTCTCTTGTAATCTAGGCACTCGTGCATTGAATGTTCCATGCCAAGCAGAAAGATACACTCCCTGCCTTGAAAATTTACAGTCTCCTGGGGAAATGATTTAGTAGAAAAAAAAATCTAATTCAGTCATTCAGCACAACTTTTCTTTTGAGTAATAACTTAATAACTTGCTATAGTTCAATAAAAATGATTATATAATTAGCTCTAACTCTTTAATGGGAATGTTTTGAGGACTATTGAGATGATTAAGTAGGTACTTGTCACCAAGCCTGGCAACCTGAGTTCAATCCTTGGGACTCTCGGAGTAGAAAAAGAAAAATGACTCCCCTGAGCTGAGTTGTTCTCTGACCTCCACACTCATGCCATTGCATACACACACAAAATAAATGAATGTAATTTAGAAATTTTAAGAATAATGTGGTTTGGGGGCTGGAGAGATGGCTCCATGGTTTTAAGAGTACACACTGCTCTTCTTAGAGGGCCCAAGTTCAATTCCCAGAAACCGCATTGGGTGGCTCACAACCACCTGTTACTCCAACTCCTAGGGGATCCAATGTCCCTGGCTTCCAAGGGCCACTGAATTCATGTTCACATACCCATACATAATTAGTTGCACACATACACACATAATTAAAATTAAATAATTTAAATTTAAATAATTATATGGCTTGAGGGACTAGGGAGATAACTCAGTTGAATGCTTGCCTTGCAAGCATCAGGACCTAAGTTTAATCCCCAGAACCCAACAAAATAAGCTGGCCATAGTGGTGCATAATAGTAACCCTAGTGCTTGTGAGGCTGAGACAGGTGGAACCCTGGGGTTCACTGGCCAGCCAGCCTAGCCTATTTGAAGATCTTCATGCCAGAGAAAGATGCTGTCACAAGAAACGAAGGTGGAGTGTAACTAAGGAATGAACAGCATCTGACATTGTTAGTTTTCCCATACACTTACACACACACAACTTTTAAATCATAGGGTAATGTTCTCTGATTAAATTATTGTATTTTCCCTCTTGAAATAGACTTATTAAGAGTTATTAATAAGTGCCTGGAGATATGACTCAGTGGTTAAGAGCACTTGCTGCTCTTACAGAGAACCTGAATTTGGTTCCCAGCACCCACACATTGGGTCACAGCCATCCTTAACCTGAGTTCCAAAGGGATCCAACACCCTCTTCTAGCCTCCTCAGGTACCAGGCACGCATGTGTTGCACTTAATAGAGTAAACAAAACCCTCAAAACAATAAATGCATAATTTAATAGGAGTTTCAAATACAATCAGTCTAGATAAGAAAAAAATTGTTTACATGTATAAGCTTTTTTGAGTCTCTGAAAATGTTTTAATAACAGTTTGTATGTTGATCACTAGAGGGCAGTAGACACACATAGCCAAGAAAATTTTTTTCACAACCATTTTCTGAATACAGAAAAGTTTGTCTGTAAATGTGTTCAGCATCATGCATTATAAATCTTTTCTTTTCCAGCCTATAAAATTTCTTTGTTAGAAAAATTCCTATCACTCCTTTGTGGATCAAAGTTACTTTGATGTCACCCACCCATCAAACTGTCATATTTTAGTCATTTGCTTTTGTTGTCTTTTCTTAACTTCTTTTGATTGCTAGAACCTTCTCTTCCCTGGAAAACAGAAAATGTATTTTAATTTTTGAAAGGGTTATTACATAGCTTCTATAATCTAGCAGAATTGAGATCTAGAGAATTTCACATACATCTTTACAGGATAAAATACAGAAAGTGTAAACTTTGTTTCTTTACTTGGTCTTCTGATCTCTGAATGTTATTTCCACATTATAACATTCTCTCTTAAGTTATTTTTTAGTTTGGTTATGATGTCCTTGCAGTGTGTTATTTTATGCATCAAGATACTTTAGGCTACTCTTCCTTAGTGTTTAAGTTGTTACTAAATTGAGTTGTTTCATATGAACCAAAGTCATCCAGTAGTTTGTTAGCTCAAAGGCTTGTCCGAAGACAGACCCAGTGATGTTATCACGGACCCAAGTTTCTTTCATCTTTCCTTCCTCCCATCCCTGGTGTATCAGACTTGTGCTTTGTGTTGAAGGTACCTTCTGTCGTTCTTGGTAAAACTTGTTATCATGCAAAGTCCAAAGATAAAAGAGAGAGACCTTTCCCCTGGTTTCAGTGGTGTACATTACTCTCAGGTCCCCCAGAGTGGCCATGCACGGGTCTGTCTCTGTACCTCACCAAGCAGTTCACTGGTAAGTGGAGGAAATTAGCATCGTGTATGTGAGAGACCAGGGTCTTCCCAAGTACCTAAAGCCCCAGAAAGAAGAATGAAACTTCAAACAAATCAGAACATTCTCCAGCAAAGAAGAGGTGGGGTGGACCTGGCAGGCAGGAAACAGTGTTTGCTAGCTAGCATTTCTGTTTTTATTTTTGTTCGTTTCACTTACAAACTCTTCTGACGTGATGTCCTGGCATTCTTAAAATAGAACCTTTTTCTGGTATATCAGTTAAATCACAGTAGACAGAATTGCATTAGCCCATACAACTTGTGGAGTCTGTACAAGCTGCTTAACCTTTTTGTCTGTGCATTGTTCTTTTTCTAGCAGTTAAACTAAGAACTTTGATTTTGCTTATTATTAGTCCTATCATGCTTAGAAAACAATCTTTCTAAAGTGTTACATGTATCTGGTAACTTTTCAACCCAAATGTGCATTTACCTCCAATGCTACCCACATTCAGCTTTCAAGACACTGGGTCAGGCACAGCTGATGAGTCTGAAGATACTATCTCCATCTGTCTGTCTTGGGGCTTAGCCTATACCATAGACCTTCAAAGACTCAGAGGGCCAGGGCCAGGGCCAGCAGCTCCAGTTTAGTAATCCAAGCCTTCCACATGCACCATCAGCCGTGGTGCCTTCTGGTCTTCTCTGACCAGTTTTGCCCTGGCTTTTCTATTTGCCACCCAGCACCTCTCAGAGGCTCTACCTCTAGGGGTCTGTGTTCCGTCTGAAATGACACCACTGTGCCTCTGAAAGACCCAGCTCCCTTAGCTGCTGCATGCCGAAGATGGGTTCCTGGTGCTTTATCTGAATATTTGGTTCTTATCTGTTTTCAGCAAGTATTTGTTGAATGGACTTTTATTAATCAACTCATATTTCAAATGCAGTAAGGTTTCCTCTAGCTTGAAGTGTTGATGCATATTGTGTTATTTTAGTAGCTTATTCATTCTCATCTAATAGATAACCTGTCAAATGATATTCTCAATCATCATAATTTTAAAAGCAAAAAAAAAAGTAGTGTTTTTAAGATTTTTTTTAAATTTTTAATCATGTGTGTTGGGAGTGAGAGGCACGTAAGTGCAGGTACTCATGGAGGTCAGAGCGGGTTGATGAATCCCCTGGAGCTGAAATTATAGGCAGTTGTGAGCCACCTGACATGGGTGCTGGGAACCAAACTTGAGTCCTCTGCAAGAGCAACAGGTACTCTTAACCACTGAGCCACCTCTCCAGCCCCACAAATCATACTTTTTTTAAAAAAATTTGTGTTGGCATCACAGCTAGATTTTGAACCTAGTCTTTATGCTTTTTATTTTTCTGTGACTTTGAAAGACATTTAGTTGTCTGAGATTACACTGAGTTTAAAAAAAATTTATAGGTATCTTCCTGATGTTTTTATTTTTCAGAAAACTGTGGATTGTTCTTTCCAGAAATAAAAAGAAATCCAGGCAAGTATGTGTACCGTTGCCCCGAATCTGTAAGAAAGTGGCTTCGACAGCTGAAGAATGCTGGGAAAATTGTTGTGTTAATTACAAGTTCTCACAGTGATTACTGTAAACTTCTTTGCAATTATATCCTTGGGTAAGTGAACAGCCATTCCATTTTCTCATCTTATAAAATACTGAGGAGGCAGCAAGATAGCTCAGCCAGTGAAGGCACCTGCCAAGCCTGACAGTGGCAGGAGAGAATGAACTCCTGCGTTGTCCTTTGACCTCCTCACACAGCACATGCACCCACATGTATACAATTGTTATAAAAATAAAATGCTGACAGTGAATTAGACCCATGCTTTTATAAAATTTCAGGACCACACCCATATTGAACCGTTATATTAAATATCATTATAAATAAATTAAAAATATTAAACACTAAGTAACAGTTTTCTCTCCTGCTACCAAATTAGCAAGAATATAACTGAGTGTCAGTGTGCTTGAAGTTCACAGGTGGTCTGGGCTATAGTATTTGGGTAGCTAAATGGCCTATATGTCCGTGAATTTCATTTCTTAGCTTTACATGATCACTGAGGCATAATGACTTTAGAATATACTCCTGACAGATTGCTAGATTACAGCCGCTCTGTCTTCATTTCAGTGGAGATCTGTGATTTTTATGATTTAGCAGCCAGGGATGGAATTAACAGGAAAACCAAGGCAGTGTAATGCAGTAGATTTTGAAGTAACATGATTCAAGCCCTTTGCTACAACTTACTGTGTTGCCTGGGGTACAGTTTATAATTTAAGCCTTTATTTCCCTATCTTAAGAATAGAACAATACCTTAGAAGTATGAGGTGATATTTAAATAGTATAGTACATACTAGGCATACATATTGGGCAGAATAGTGGACAAGCTTCAATGATTGCTAATACATATGCATATCATTCTTGGCCATACCAGGGAATGTCCTTGGTCAGAGCAGGATTCTGCAGTGGGTTCTTAGATCTCCCCTAAGATCTTAGATCTCAGCAAACATAGAATAGCCACAAGTTGAAGCAAGTTGTAACCTTTAAGCTTTCCTTCATTGATAATTTTTAGCTTTGGGATCTCTGTGTTCTTTAGTATGTGTGTGGTTTTAGCTTATTTTATGGTATACCTAACCGTGAATGGATTTCCTGGTTTCTGAAAAATGCATAGGTAGAAGTCCTTCCAGTAGATTAAGGCTGGCATCTGGGTGCTGGGGAAGGCACCTCTTCAAGCGACATTTGCTACCCTGGTAGTAGGAACGCGCAGTAGAGTACAGAGGACTTTAATTCCTTTCTTCATTAGCGTGGATAACTGAAATCCTTCTTCTCATCTTAATTTTTATTTATTGCACTTTTTATTTGTAAAAATATTCTGGAATATTTTTCATTGTGACAGTGAAACCCTTAGGGAAAAGAACTATCTTTCCTTGGCCATCTCAATTAATCTTTAATATCATGTAATGCTAAATATAAAATGAAAATCACTAAATGTTGTCATCTAAAAGTGCTACAAGACCACATTGATTTTCAAAATAAACACCTTTGTCATGTTTTGAGCACTGTCTGAGAAACACCACTGGGCTTAAAATAGCACTATTGCTGTAGCACCAGTATAAAGCCAAACTTACTAACTTGTAGACTAAGAAGTACACACGAATTTCAGTCCTTCAATTTTACAGTGTGGATCTGGATACTTCAAGCTACTAGAAACTTGTGCTCACCATGATAGTCTCAGGGGAAAGCAGGCTCTGCATCTGGTCAGTACGCTGCTGCTCTGCTTCTTGCTTCTCCTTGGTTTGCTTCCTCCTGGCTTCTTTCTCTTTTTCTTGTTTGTTTTGCCTGCTTTTTTTTTTTTTCATTGTTATATTTATGCCTTAAGTAGTCACATTTTCAGGAAGACTAGGACCCTGTGTAGCATTCAACTTCAAGTGTATAATAAAATGTAAAGCGTGGAAAAAATGATCTACAGATGGGAAATGATGCTATGGTAAAATAGATAGGCAAAAATTAAATTGTTTTCTATGGAATTTCTTTTGCTTCTTAGGCATGATTTTGCAGACTTTTTTGACATTGTGATTACAAATGCATTGAAGCCTGGATTCTTCTCCCACTTTCCAAGTCAGAGGCCTTTCCACACACTGGGTGAGATGTGTTTTGCTTCTTCTCTTTACCTTTGACTATCACCAAGTGCAAAGCCCTGTTTACAGGTACTACCTTGTCTTCTCAAGAAGAGAAGGAAACTATAACCTCTGTTGCATTATACCTTACTCTGCCACTTTATATCTTAATTGTTTGCATGTCAGCCTTCCACTATTTCCAAAAATGGAAGGTATGGATCTCCCTGATCCTGAAGGACCTAAATAAATGCATTAATAAGTACTTAACAGAATGCATTAATTAGTAAGTCTGAGTTGATCATTTTCTGAAGCACAAGCGCCTACAGAAACCATGAAGATCATAATAGCAAAAAGCAAAACAACACGCACACACAAGTACTTTCTCCTTCAAAGAAGGCTAGGCAGAACTGTCACACTCTAAAGACAGATTGAAGAGAAACAAGGTTGCTGAAAAAAGCAAAGAAACTCTGCAGTTGAAGAGAATAACACACGAGCTGCTATTCATCGGTGCTTTCCGGAAGCTTCTTGAATAAATATGTATATGCATGAAAAGTAGAACTTGGGGCTGGAGAGATGGCTCAGCAGTTAGGAGCACTTGCCTGCTCTTGCAGAGGACCCAGGTTTGATTCCCTGCACTCATACGGCAGCTAACCACCATCCTTAACTCCAGTTCCAGGGGATCTGACACCCTCTTCTGACCTCTGTGGGCATTGCATGTCATGGCTGCACTTACATAAGTCGGGCAATGTACTCATGCACACAAATAAAAATAATTTAAAAAAAAAAAAAAGAGTAGAACTTGGTCAGGACCAGGGGAGCTGCAGGTTTGGGGAAAGTGAATGGCAGAAAGGCTTAGCTGATATATCGTGTGTCTTTTATTTATCAAAGAGCAAGTATGTTACCCTACATTCCAGCTCTGTAACAAAGTTTCCTTAAAAGGAAAAACTGTTTATCTTGGTTGATGGTTTCAGTGTTCTGTTACTGGCCATGTTGTTTTGCACCTGTGGTGAGGCAAACCAGCATGGATGGGAGTGAGTAGCAAAGCAGAACTGCTTCCGTCATGGCTGCCAGGGACAGAGAGGACAAGGCTGAAGTCAGCATAACTTTGAAGGGACTGTGCCTTCCAACCAAGCTCCCTAAAGGCTCCATCACCATCCCACATCACTACCAGCTGGGATCAAACCTTCAACACACAAGTCTTTGGGGGACTTTTAGGATCCAAACCATAATATTCAGTGTCATATTAACATTTGAGAACCATTCAGTATTGCTCTGGTTAACTGTGAGTATCTAGAGGTAAAAGTATGGACTGTTTCAAAGCTAATCCTGTAGAAGTTCTCCTTTTAGGACTTCTGTGCAGAGTTTCTCTAGTTGTACATGACCACACTGGTTGATGTGATGATAAAAATTATGCAAACTGTGGGGCTGGAGCGATGGCTTAGAGGTTAAGAGCACCGACTGCTCTTGCAGAGGACCTTGGTTCGATTCCCAGCACCCATATGGCGACTATGAGCCATCCTTAATTCCAGTTCCAGGGGAATCTGACACCCTCTTCTGACCTCCATGGCATTGCATGACACAGGTGCACTCACAGACATGCAGGCAATACTCTCAAACACATAAAATAAAAATAATAAATAAAATATTTTTAAAAAAATTTTTTAAAAATTAAGCAAACTATTTTCAACTATTGTGTTTATCAAAGAACTTTAGTCTTTTGACTGAATTTATGGTACTTAAGTATTCCAAATCTTAACTTGAAATATACATATAGTGATAATATATCTCTTGTTCTCTCTTTCTCCCTTCTCTTTTACAAAAGGGGCTCATTATGTAACCCTTGCTGGTCTGCAACTCATTCTGTAGACCAAGATGGACTCTACCTTGTGACAAATTTTCTGCATAAATACATTTTTTTAAAATTATCATGCTTATGGTTCTATAAAGGCTTTATTTTTTAATTCTACTCTAACTGTAATTTTTATTTTTTACAGGTAAAGTTACATATATATATATATATATTTATGGTATGCAACATGATTTTTTAACATATGTATACACTGTGTAACGAGCAAATCAAGCCATTTAACATATGTATTATCCACTCTCCTAGCAGTTTTCAAATATACATTACGTAATGATAGACACCATGAGGAACACTACATCTCTTGCATCTATTCTTTCTTCCTAAATTTTCTCTTTGCTGCCGTCTCTCCAAGCTCCCGCTCTCCCCATCCTCTCTTAACCATGATTTTGGTCTCCACTTCCATAAGATCAGCTTTTTCATATTCCACATACACATAGATCATATGACATTTATCTTTCTGTTTGTGGCTTATCTTGTTACAGAAAAATCAGACCATCAGCTGAAGTCAGGTGAGGAGAGGAAGTTTAATTTGATGCTAGTGGGTTTTTATACTCATGTGAGGAATGCAAGCAAAAGGTACATAGCATATACATGGTAATTAGGTAAGATAACATGGTGGTAAAGATTACAGGAGTGTGAAAGCTTTGGAAAACAAAGACTTCTATCCTGGGTCACCACAGCGGGCAGTGGGGGGAGATTCCTGCTCACCTGCTCCATACCTATCTCTTGTCTCTGGGCTTTTCCTGCTCCAAAGTTCTTAATTACATTATATTGCAAAAGCTTTTAGCATCTGACCTGCTCTTCCATTTCCATAATAATCTCAGTCAGTATTATATCCTGCACCTTCATCCATACTGTTACAAATAAGATTCCTTTCTTTTTAAGGCTGAGTAATATTCCATTGTGTATATACCTGGCCCTCAACACCTGCACATTCAACAAATATCAGATCAAAACTGTTCAAAGAAATTGCATAGGCACTAAACACAACACATACATATTTTCCCTTCTCATTCCCTACATAATATATTATAGCAATTATTGATATAACTTTTATGTTGTATTAAGTATTATGTTACTAGAAATTATTTAAAATATGAAGGTAGATAGGTGTGGGTTATTGCAAATATAATATCATTTTATATAGGGGACTTCTGCAGAGGGTTCTGGAACCTATCTCCAATGAATGGTAAAAAACATATATATATAAAATGTTTCTCTCATATTTTGGTTTTTGGCTTTTAAATATTTTATTTATTATTATTGTATGTGTATGAGTGTATTGCCTGCATGCAGGTGAGTACACCCATGTCATAAAAGACCCATGGAACTCAGAAGTGGAACTGGAACTGTTAGCCACCATGTGAGTGCTGGGAATCAAACCTCGGTCCTCTGCATGAGCAGCCAGTGCTCTTAACCACTGAACCATCTCTCCAGCCCTGTCTTCATATTTTGACTATTAGGAATTACAGTGATGACCATGGAAGAGTAGAGATCTCTTCCATATGCTGACTTCATGTTCTTTTGGATACTCAGCAGTATGATTGCAGGATTATATGGTAGTTCTGTTTTTAGTTTTTGTGGTGCTGGGGGCTTCACACATGTTAAGCTTATGACCCACCACTTAGCATCCTTCTAGCCCTAGTGCTTAATTTTGGCAGACCTTCTATACCATATTAATTAAATTTCACTCAACAGTATGCAAGTATTCCTTTTTCCCCACTTCTATCTTTTTTAAGAAAATCATTCTAAAAGGAGTGAGATAACATCTCCCTGCAGTTTTAGTTGGCATTCTCTTACTGATTAATGATTTTGAACATTTTTTTCATTTGCTTGTTGGGCATTTGTGTATCTTGTATTTAGAGAAATGTTTGCTCGGCTGCTTTGTATTTTAATCAGGTTATTTTTTATTCAGTTGCTTACATTCCTTATATATTTTAGATATTAGCTCCTCATTTGGGGGCTTGCAGATATTTTTCTCCATCCCACACACTGCCTTTTCATTCTGGTTTTTTTTCTCTGTGAAAGAAAAAAAAAAGCCTTTTGTAGTATGATGTAATTCCATTTGTCTTTTTTTATTTTTATTGCCTTGAATTAGAATCATGTCCAGAAAAATCTTATAAATCCTGTGTATAATTCTACTCTGCTGTTCCAGAGGTGGAAAACCTAGGTTGATAGAAGACCATGCCCTGTAATGACTTCTATAAAATGCCCATAAACCTCAAATACCTGAGATTTCATACTCACTGTACAGATGTTTAGAAATGCTTATTTTAGTTCTTCTGTGTTTGAAAGTGATTGACTAAGAATGTAAGGGTCTTTGGTGCCTTAATTTTCTGGATTTCTGTTGTAAAATATTTCAGTGGAAGATAAAATGAATCCTGTAGTCTTGGATTTGACACAAATAGATGATTTCCTTTCATTGTGCAAGAAGATTGCCAAGAGCTATTATTGATCAAAGGTGGTGCTGCTTTTACTGGTTAAGCTCGGACTTCTGTGTACCCTGCTATGGGGTTTACTTGGCTGCTGGGCCTGTTCTCAGCTACCCCTTCCACCACTACCCACCCACCCCCACCCCCACCAGCTTCATGTTGCCTTCCACAGCTTCCCCCCTTTTCCCTTTCTCTAGCTGCTGTTCCAGCCTTCCTCATGAGGCTCTCCCTTCTCTTCCACCCTTCAGCCCCCTATGCATGCTTTTCACAGAGTCCCAATTCCTTACTTCCCTATTTTGCCATTCCCTGGCCTATGGAGACCTGTTGTCTTCTACAGTCTCCACACTCCGGAGATTATACCTTACGAAACTTGGAGTGCTCAAACAGCTCATCAGGCCCCTGCCATCTTAGCATCTTAGCATGCGCTTCTTTGCATGTTCCATAATTCTGTTAGTGACTTTGCCCAACACTAATCATAATGAAATAGTGAAAATCGGTCATCCTCCAGTTCTCTCCACTGAGTATCTATTCTTCAGCTCTCTGGGGTCTGGCACCACCACGTTCCTACTACTGTCCTCATGTCTCCTGGTGGCTTGATACGGTATTAGAGCATGCCTGAGTCACTGCAGTTTTCAGTCCCTGAGTTCCTGCCTCCATCATTCATGTAACCCACAAGCCATCCTCATCCTCAGTGTCACTGGATGTTATTGAAGTCCCATCAGGCCACTGCTGTAACCACTAAAGGGATGTAAATTAAAACCTGTTCCAAGCAGTTAAAGTCAGAGGAATAAAATTAAGACACAACAGGTCAGCTTGCTGAGGGATTAGGGATAGTGCTCAGGGTGACCTTGGTGAGTGGCTTGTGCCTGTGGCAGTGGTTGTCATGGTGACCAGGCTAGAGCTTCTGGTGGTGTGGCTAATGGAGGCTCAGCAACTCCACCCCTACAGACCTTCAGGAATAGTGTGGGGGTGCCGAGAGCGTCTGTGTCCTCCTCACCCCTTTCCTGAAGTATACAAAAGGAGACCCTAGCCCTTACAGCTGCTGACATTTGGGGAAAGGAAGAATCTCTGCTTTGTAAAGTATAAATTCACTGGGGAGGTACCCTGTGCCTGTTTTGGTCACTACATTGCCACCTCCACCCCCATCACTACCCCAACCCCCAGCCTGCCCCACCCCTGGGCAGCCAGCTCACTCCCTTGTCCCCATTGTGGAAATTCAGCACACATCTCTGGCTCCTGGGTCTCAGCTGTCATCCATACCGAGGCCTCTTTTCCTGAGTCTCATAGGCTGTTTTCACCTGCACACCACTAGGTGTTTGAAACAAACATGTATTTTTCCTTCCAGCTAAAAAATAAAGACAACCAAACATGCTGATGGAACACCTTGTGTGCCTTATCACACTAGCTTAACCATTAAGCTGCCTGCCTGCTGAACTAGAAACCATTATCACCCTTTCCCTCTGGGCAAACCCTGTTATTGTACTTTGAAAGTCTCAGACGTCTGCCTCACTCTTCCTTTCTAACTCTTCACCCCGTCGTCCAGCACTTGTAATTCACACTGACATCCATTTATTATTTGCTTTTCAATTTTTCAGTATCTTTTATGTTATTCACTTCTTGGTAGGCATAGCGTATAGTTAATCCCACGCACTCCCACTTGTAGGTTCCCACTTCACAGCACAGCCTCAGGGGAGTTGTTCTCTTCGTCCTCCTTCAAGGTGCCTTTCCCTGTAGGTACCACTCACAGTATATCTGCTGAAATGATTGCCTTTTACTCCTCAGTCAGCCAGTCCTTGTCCTGGCTGTCCTCTCTGTCATTGTTTCTGAGATCACAGTGTTATCTACAGAATCACCTAGGGATCTAGTTAAAATGGAGACTGATTCAGTGGACTCCAGTGAATCCTTACTTTCTGCATTTCTAGCCAAGGTTCCTGGTAAAGCAGATGCTACTAGTCAGAAGATGACTGTTAAAGAGAAGGATATACATGGAAAGCCTCCCCTTCCTCTGTCGGGTGACGTCCTCCCTCTGCCTTATTACCCTCACAGATAATACTACCTTTCCTTGGCTGTCACGGGGGGGTCATGTGGTGAAGGTTTCTTCCTCACTGGGATATGACTCCTAAGGGTAGCAGCGCCATGCAGAAAACTGTGTCCTGCACAGTGCCAAGCCAATAACATTAAAGCCTTACTGAAAGGAAGTGGCAGGATCTGTCATTGCACCAGTCAGAATTCATTGGTTAGTGTAAATATTGACTGTTGGCTTGCTCATTGGTAGGGTTTCTTTGTTTCTGTTGGTGCCTTGACTAGAGTAAGTAGTTTTTTTATTTGCGTTGTCCTTAGGAAAGGTCACATAGTAGGGATTATAACAGGAAAATTATACTACTAAAGAAAATAAACAGCTTGCTTATAAGTGGAAGCAAATTTAATAGAACAGAAAGCAAACAGAAATAGGAGCAGAGGTGCTGGAGTTATGACTCAGTGGAAAGAGTACTTGCTGGAGGACCTAAGCTTGGATTCCCAGATTCCACATAAGGCACACATCTGTAATCCCAGCATGCCTAAGGAGAGTTGGAGATCAGAAACAGGAGAATCCCTTGAAGTTTATTGGCCAATTAGGCTGGTGTGTACAGCTGTGGGACATAGTACACAGCTATGTTGAACCTGTAGCTCTGTCCTTGTAACAGTGGAACACCGGCATATCTATGTTAAAAAAAAAAAAAAAAAAAAAAAAAAAAAAAACAGGAACAGAAGCATAGTGCCTGAGCTAAATAGTGTCAGAGTTTGGGTTTATAGACTGTCCTGGAAACCCCTTGAGTTGGTTCAGAGGAATCCTAGTGGAGTTTCTGTTAGAACACTTGAAGCTGCCCCCATGGATCATGGATTAGTTACCCTTAAAGGTGGCTTGCAGCTGGAAATGGGGGGGGGGTGTTACATAAAGAGGTTTTGGTTTCCTCCCTCTGAACCTCCCGTCTTCTCTCCATCCCTTCTTTCTTTTCTTCTTCCCTCCCTCCCTCCCCACTATCTTGCTTCTTATTAGATGACTGGGCAGCAGTTTTCCCCCACTGAGGCCAGAAATCAAACCCAGAGCCTCATACACATAGCACTCAGCATTTGAGAAACAGTAATTCTTCAGACTTTTTTTTTGTTCTTAATAAAGTGTGGAAAGGTTCCCATTATCTTTGCAAAGTGAGCATCTACATGTCAAATATAAATCTGCTTGCAAAAATATTTCTTCTATCTCCCAAATTTCAGCAAGCATACATTATTTACACAATAATACATTATTCTGTACTAAACAGAGTTGACAGAGGAAGTGATCAATCTTTGGTGAATTTCTCCAAGGAACAGGCCAACTCTTCTTAGAGTTTCCTGTTGAATCACTAGATAGTTCGATCTTCAAACTGAGGGTAGTGGGGTTCTCATTGGATTGTGCAGAAGAATGGCAACAGATGCCAGAAGGAAAGCAAGACCAGGGAAAACACTCCCTGACCATAAGCCCCCGATTGTACATGCAACCTTAATATCTATACATGGACTCTTAGAATTGTTCAAGATATGTAACATTATATAGAAGTTCAGTTCATGTGATAGTAATATATTTGACTCATTTTTTGTAAGATTATAAATTCCCATTCAGCTGTAGTGACCAACATTTATTTTGTAAATCTTAAATTGCCTAGTACCACACCCAAGGTAGCTTGTTAACAAGTTGAACACACATTTAGGGAGCTTGTTTGTGAATTTACATGTAAAAATTAGATTTTAGCTGAAGGTAATATCAGTGCCAAAGAGCCGTCTTTAATACTTGCTTACCTAGATTTTCCCTTTTTTATAAATCCTTGTCCTGGTCCAGGGTTAATTCAAGCTTCAGCTTTAAGACCCCTCAGCTGTCTTGTCAGGTCCAGTAGGAATCATGACAATGTTGTTTGTTAATTTTGTACTCTTTCTCTGAAAGATGGCCCTCATACGAACATCTGGTCTGGCAAAACTTGACCTTTGTATATAACGTGTGACTGTATCTCATTGGAATTTTTCTTCAAGACATAGCAAAGAGGACAGAAAAGTAACAACATTCCCCTGCTCTAAAAGCTAACCTTTTTGAAGTCCGAAGTCTTTCAGTTCTTAGGGAAGGGTTTTTGGGTTTTTTTTTTTTTTGTCCCCCTCCATATTGTTTCTAAAGCTGTTCTAACAGCTGCCAGAGTCTTTGTTGGTATAGCGTTCTTTTCATTAAGCAGCAGACTATCTTCAGCTCTCCACCTGCATAGAAGGCGTATAATAGCAGACAAAATCCAGAGTGGCAATACACGTAGCTTCTTTCGCCAACCCTGCTTTATCAGGGGACAGAAAGCAAGTACCGTGCTGGAAGAGGACAGATAGTTGGGACCAGTCCATATACTCCTGCTTTGACATCCAAGTGGACCTTTATTGCTCCCTCTTTCTGCTTTAGGCCGGGACTAGGGGGAAGTAATTGAGTCCCCTAGGGCACAAAATTTATGCCTGTATTTAGTAGTTCACTAATAAAAGTCTGTCCCCTCTCACCCTCTTCCAAAAAGACAGGACTTTATTATGTTCCATGATGATGTGTATTTAGTAAACCATTTATAAAAGCTGGGGTAGGTCAGCAAGGTGACTCCTTAGGTAAAGATGCTTGTCACCAAAACTGAGGACCCAACAGCCTGAATTTGGTCCTCACTTGTGGACCATGGCACACACCCATGTGTACGCACGCGCGCGCGCACACACACACACACACACACACACACACACACACACACACGAAGTGCTTATATAATAGGTGCTTACTGAATGCAAGCGTCCTTCTGATGTGGTTTCCTTCTATACATGGTCTATAAGGAGACCCAGAGCACATAAAAAATAAGTGGTTATCAACCTGTACTTCCAGAAAACGATGAGGAGCAGGAAGAGCTGACATCTCTGGATAAACCTGGCTGGTACTCCCAAGGAAATGCTGCCCACCTTTATGAACTTCTGAAGAAAATGACTGGCAAACCTGAACCCAAGGTAATTTCTGATTGATTGAGGCAGAGTCCTTGATGTCCACTTGCAGATAGACATGTCAGTAGACATGACTCAAAACAGTACCAGAGCTACAAATGGTTCGGATTACTTATGTGTAGTGGTCATCTGCCTCTGCACATCTATCAGATCTCTTCTTTTGCCTCTTCTGATTAGGTACACTTTTGATGTAGACTTGGTCTATATCTGTGACAGAGAAAAACAAGGACTCCAAGCAGGCCATAGAATCTAGGTAGTACACGTGATTCGTCTATAGGGTGCCTGAGAAATGGCATTCTGATAACAATTCATCAAAGAACCTTTTATAAACTGACTTAGCTTTTTCTTAAAGACACTCTTGCCTTTGACCCTTTGATCCCAATCACATTGTTAATAATTGGACATAATTACAATACAGTCCTTTCCTTTACAAGATACTTACTGTAAGCCCTGTGAGCAAGAGAGACCATTGGGTAACTGAGCCATGTTCTATCGACTCCTATTTTCTTAGCCCCCTGAGAACTCCTCAAAGGTTCAATGGACTAAGAACCTTGATGTGTAAGTTCTGATTCTTATCCCTGAACCTCAGTCTCCTCTGTAAATTGAAGGGTGTGGACTGATCTGTAGGGCTTGGCCTTAGATTTCCTTAGGAGCTTTCTAGATTTCACATAATGGGACTTACACTGAAAAGTTCTGTTTCAGCAGATCCGGGGCACTGAGGGGTGTGTATAAACCCTTGAACAGTGGTTAGGATGTGTATTCTTTAAAATTTATATATGTGGTGGTATATGAATGTTTTGCCTACATATGTATAAGTACACTACATGTGTGCAATACTGGCAGAGGCCAGAAGAAGGTGACAGATCCCCTGGAACTGGAGTTACAGATGGTTGTTAGCTGCCATGTGGATGCTGGAGAACCTAGGTCATCTGCAGGAACAGCCAGTGCTCTTAACCTCTGAACTGTCTCATCTCTGTGATGTATATTCTTGATAATATGCAACATGCTCCATAATAAGGTGTCTCAAATATCTTGCCAGCTCTAATTTTAGAATCAGATTTAAATATAAACATATGTGCAAACACACAGGTTCACTTCTTCATTAGGAAATAAGACAAAATTATTTATCTCACCTTCTACTTTATTTGTACCTGCAACAAACCAGGAACTCTGTAAATCAAGCAGGATAATAGTTGGTCACCTGTGGAATTATTTTAGGGAGTTTAAGATGCTGGTGCCATTTTGGGGCATTGTACTCCAATGCCTGTTGAGGAAGTTTCCTGTTTTCCATGCAGTAACCACCACTCTCACAGTGTTCATGCCTCATACAGAATTTGCTCTCTGAATTATAGGTTGTTTACTTTGGTGACAGCATGCATTCAGATGTTTTCCCAGCCCGACACTATAGTAACTGGGAGACGGTCCTCATCCTGGAGGAGCTCCGAGGGGAAGAAGATGAGAAGCCTGAGGAGGCAGAGCCCCCAGAGAAGAGAGGAAAATACGAGGTGAGGCTCCTACCCATTCTTTTCTTACATGTTTAGAAGCTTTCATGTTTGTACCTGACTTTAGAATTCACTAGGTGTGGTGTCACATGCCTGTAGTGCCAGCATTTGAATAATGGAAAAAAGAGGATCAAGAATTCAAAGTTCACCTTGGCTACATAGTGAGTTTGAGTCCAGCTTTGGCTACCCTGCCTCAAAAAAATACAAATTATCATGATCTGGCTAAATACCTTCATGGTTTTTTTAATATTTTATTTATTATTTTTATTTTATATGTATGAGTATATTGCCTGCATGTATGTGAGTGTACCCATGTCATGCAGTGCCTCAGATGTCAGAAGAGGGCTTCGGTTCCCCTGGAACTGGAGTTAAGGACGATTTGTAGCCATCATGTGGGTGCTGGGAATTGAACCCAGGTCCTCTGCAAGAGCAGTCAGTGCTCTTAACCACTGAGCCATCTCTCCAGCCCAATTCCTTCATGTTTTATAGATTGTGTTTGAAGCAGTATTTAATGGGCTTAGCAGCTGTATAAGCTAGCTTTAGTTATATTATCTGATTTTTAAAAACCTATCATGCCCCATCAACATTGCATCATAGGCTGGGAAGAGCTGTGTGAAGGCCTACCTCTAACTGATGGCATTTAATAGCTGCTTGGTGAAAAATAGCCCCTACCCCCAGCCCCCAGTGGTGTAGCCACTGAAAAGTTGCCCATGCTCCAGTGAATAACCCCACACCATGTTCATGCAAATGACTCCAAGTTGGTAGGTCATTTTTCTTTTAAGGACTTGAAAGCAGTAGGGGAACTTGTGGGTAAGAAGGGGTTCAGGGAAAGGACAGGACAATAAGAGAGAGCAATGAATGACCAAAATATACACCTACATGAAATTTTCAGAAAATAAATTTAAATTTTTTTAAATTTATTATATATCTTTCTGCTATGTAAAGGTAAATAAAACTATTGTATCTGTTTTTACCAAATATCTTTTAACCCAAACCTGAAATCTCCCCACTAATAAAAGTCAGATTGCTGTAGGGTACAGGTCACCGAACAGCACACTTCTGTGGAAAAGGCAGACCAGTACGTTATCAACAGCACCACCTTCAGATTCTTTCCTGTTTCCTGTGGAAAGGACAGAGCTCAGACGTCTTCAACTGCAGCAGAAGGGAAACCATCTACAAAGAAAGCTAAGAAGAAGGCACTGCATGAGAGTCCATTGTACTCTGTGATTGTTAAGAGAAATGTAGTTTAGTTTCTCCAACGAGGCGTCAAGCATATAATATGAAAGTTTCTGTCTTTTTGAAAGTTCAAATACTGCCTACAAAAGGATTTAATTCTACGTTTCTAATTATTTTATTCAGCATAAATAAACTTTCAAAAATATTATTAAAAAGAAATTAGCCAGATCATTTTGAACCAGACACCATGAACCAAAGCACTGACTTACTGCTTTCTGTGATGATGATTTTGTTTTGCTTAGGTCTGAATTCAATTTCTGTAGTGTTTATAGTGATTTCTCATCTAGCTAAGTTCATCTGGGACTTGAAGACTATTTTACACACACACACATCCCTTCATTTGTGACAGGAAGCATAAGACAGAGGACTCCTCAAATGGAACCTTGGGATCTTACAAGCTTTTGACACAAAACTTTTTCTGTTACCTTGATGTATCAGTTGATTATCTACATTACTATATTAGAGCATGGTGACAGATAAGCAAAAACAAAAAGTATATTTTAATAGTTAACAAACCTATTAGAAGAGTAAGGAGTAATTTTCTTTTCTTTAAAAATCAAAACCCAATAAGTCTGGAAGTATGTTCGACCACCTCTTGAGTCCAGCTAGCCAGCCTGTGTGTGAAAGGAAGGTGTGCTCTCTTCTTCCGCCTCCTTCATTACTGTTCTACTGTTTTTATTTGTTTCTTCATTTAAAATAAATAAATAAAGCAGTTACTTTATATTTTAGAATAGCATATTCTTAAACTTAGATGCGAAAATAATTCACTTTTGGTGGTGAAAATCCTTAGCTAAGAAAAAGAAAGGAGTATCGTTTAGAGAAAAGACTACCAAAAACCCCAAATGGGAAGAAAATAAAGGAAGGAAGAAAGTCATATTTCATGGAGACCCACCACTGGTCTCCTTTCCGGTGCTAAACTACATGAGTGCCTCTAATTAATTACACTATAAAGCACAGGTGTTCAGGGCCTCAAGAAAAACAAATGAGAGATAACATTGAAAGGCAACTCACCACACTGTCTTTATTTTATATTTATATGACGATTAGTGTAGAAGGAATCAACAAACTATCAAAGTTAATAAAAAGGTTCAGTCAGAGCATGCAACTTCTGAATTTTCAGATGACGGGTGCTTAAGTAAGTAAAGTATATTCAAACATACTAAAATTTGAAAAAAAAAATCCATAATCTGAAATCATTGTTCTGGCCCCAAGCATTTCAGAAAATGATATTTCCTCTGTATATAAAAATTTCAAGGGGCCAGAGAGATGGCTCAGCTGTTAAGAGCACTGACTGCTCTTGCAGAAGACCCGGGTTAGATTCCTAGCACCCACATGGCAGCTAACAGTCATCTGTAACTCCAGTTCCAGGGGATCCAACGCCCTCTTCTGACCTCAGCGGGCATTGCACAACACAGGTACACCTACCTACATGCAGGCAGTATACTCACCCCAACCCCTGGAGTTCACTGATTTGACTAGACTTGCTGGCCAGTGAGCCACCAGGATCTTCCTGTCTCCACTTCCCTGGTACTAGGAATAGATATTTGCCACTATGCCTGGTTTTAAAAATTTTTTTAAATTCATTTTTTTTATTTTATGTGTATGAATGTATTGCCTGCATGTATGTAAGTATACCCATGTCATGCAATGCCCATGGAGCTCAGAAGAGGGTGTTAGATCCCTTGGAACTGGAGTTACGCCTTTAATCCCAGAACTAAGGAAGAAGAGACAGGTGGATTTCTGTGAGTTTGAGGCTATCCTGGTCTACATAGTGAGTTCCGGGCCAGCTGGGGCTACAGAGAGACCCTGTCTCAAAAAAAACAAAACAAGGCTAATTCTGGTTCAAAATAAAGGGCACTTCATAATAAAGAAATGTTATTTTCTTTCCAAAAATATAATGGCTATCCAGCCCCTGTCCATGGGTTCCTATAGTGTTTCTTACTTTTATGTCCTTAAGTGAAAATTGTAAGACTAATTAATCACAGGCATTGTTAATCACAGTTACTCTATTTTCTTTTTTCAGGAACCAAAGGTAAAGCCTCTAAATACCTTATCTAACAAATGGGGCTCATATTTTATTGACTCAGTTTCAAGACAAGGAAATGCAGAAGACTCCTTGGTTTATACATGGTCTTCTAAGAGAATCAGCACCTACAGCACTATTGCAATCCCAAGCCTTGAAGCTATTGCAGGTAAGAGGGAGGATACCGGTGAAGCGTCCCCTGGTACAGGGAAGGAAAGAAGGAAATCCTCCCCTGATACTCATCTATTTTTATTGACAAATAGCTTTCCAGTATGGCTGCGTAAGTCAAGACCAGCCTTCTGCTGGAGCTGATTACAAAAGCTAGATACTTTTTTTTAAGCCTACCTGGAGAAATTACATACACGTTGGAAGAATTGCCAGGACAAGATGCTTAGGAGACCTAGTAAGATGAATCTGGCTTTGGGGCTGCTTTTCCCCCTTGATATTTGCTGAGTCCAACCAAAGAGGGCAAGTGAGTCTTTCTGTAATTTCACAAAACTACTAAGATAGGAACTGGAGCAGAGAGGCAGCTGGTACACTCCATCAGTCTTTGTTGAGACCCTGCTGAGTTTTACCTTAGAATAAAGATGAATTAGGACAGAGTCCCCATTTTCATAGGGGTAAAGCTCAACTTCAAACAGCTGAGTATCAGAAATTATCAGTTCCCCCTCTACAAACTTGGTAGAAACAAATTTACATTATCTTTTGAAAAAGGTAACATTATTCTGGAATTCAAATTCTTCCTAAAACAATTCATTTAAGGTTCAGGACATAATGAGAAATTGCTAGAAACAAGGATGTAAGACCAAAAAAAAAAAACGACTCTAGAAAACCAAGGAATGAGAAATGTGGTAGAGATGTAAAAACTTTAAAAAGGATGGGAAATTTTTAATTAAATATTTAAAAATCAAAATTACAGCCAGGCGTGGTGGATTACCCCTTCAATCCCAGCACCTAGGAGGCAGAGACAGGCGGATCTCTGTAAGTGCAAGGGCAGCCTGGTCTACATTGCAAGTTCCAGGCCAGTTGGGGCTACAGGGAGATCCTGTCTCAAAAAGACTAAAGGGGAGAAAAAGAAAAAAAAAAAAAAAAAAAAAAAAAAAAAACAATTAGGAAGATAGTGAACAGGCTTTACAGCAAATTAGTGCACTGTAAAATAGTTCAAAGGAAATGTGAGAGTCTAGAGTGTAGCTCAGTGTGATAGAGAGCTTGCATAGCATGCACAAGGCCTTGGTTCAGTTCACAAGACTGCAAAAGGGAGCTAGGTAGGAAGGCAGGCAGGAAAGAAGACACCATGTAGAACGAACCACCACCAAGTAAAACCATGGAAGACATAGAGGAAAGGTTAAAGAAGGCATAAAGGATAAAAAGAAAATGAAGGAATATAGATTCTATAATTGGAGTTCAAGAGTGGATATAATTTTTTTTCTCTTTTTGAAACAGGGTCTCACTATGTAGCCCCAGCTGGCTTGGAACTCGCTGTGTAGACCAGGCTGGCCTCAAACCTATAGAGATCTCTCTGCCTCTGCCTCCTGAGTCCTGGGATTAAAGGCCTGTGCCATCATACCTGGCCTGTTTTTTGTTTTTCTTTAAGATTTGTTTTTTGTTTGTGCGTGCGTGCGTGCGTGCGTGCGTGCGTGTGTGTGTGTGTGTGTGTGTGTGGTCTGCAGATGCCTGCAGATGTCAGAAGAGGGTATCTGATCCCCTGGAGTTACAGGTGGTTATGAGCCACCTGGTGTGGTTACTGGGAACCAAATCTGGGTCCTCTGGAAGAGTAGCAAGCACTCTTTACCACTGAGTCATCTCTCCAGCTCTCCAATAGTGGCTATATTAATGTGGAACAAGGTAGACACTTGGGAAAACATCTGTTATTAACAGAAGAGAAAATCACTTCATAATGACAAGTTCTCATTCTCAGAAACATATATAGTAACTGAAGTCCAAGGATTCACTGGGACTACCCTGTGTCAGCTCAGAGCTTAATCTCTCCCTGTGTAAACAGAATGGAGATGCTCGGAAACCCACCCTGCTTTACAGAAGTGTATGCTTTCTGTGTGGCTTCTTGGTTTCCCGTGCCTCTTCTGAGTGTGACACAGGTCTTGAGGAGAAAAATGAACAGAATCTGGTTCTCTGCTCCTTCCTTTATACCGGGTTCCTAGACTCAATTTCGTTTCTGCAGCCCGGCAAGACTGCCTCAGATCCCTGGCTTTCTGCTGCCGCGCCAGCTTGCAGCCAGGATTCAGCTGCTGTAGAGAAAAGCTGCAGCCGCAGAATGTGGCTTCCGTTTCTGCGCACAGCTCCTTCCCAGGAATCCTGTGTCCTGCAGTGCTGGTTGCCTGTCAGTTCGCCAGTAACCTCATGATGTTTTTCTTTGTTACCTTTTCTAGTTCTTTCTGCTCCAAATTAGCAGCCTGAATAAGTTAGCTTTGCAGTCTTCATTATGTTGGAGCAGGTGGTATCAGGATGCATTTCCTCCCTCACAGGTTGGGTGTCCATCTGAATTATTCGTAGGATAGTGGTGGTGACCCCAAGATAAATTGATCATCTAAAGAATCCATCCTATGTCGGTGTATGAATCCAGTATGTCGGTGTATTCTCCTGAAGCAGCCTCTTGTTTTATTTTTTTTTTTTTCCCTTGTTTGGTGCTTACATACAAAATTAAAGGCAGCCTCGATGTAATACTTCTTTTAAAAAAAATGTTAAACTCTATTTCAAAATGACTTGGAATTTTATTGGCTAGTATAATAATGGAAGCCATTGGACTATTCTAAAATACCTGAATATAAAAACTATTACATAACTTAAAGTGTAGGGATATTTATTCATTATGGTTCGCGTCATGTAATTGTCCCACAATTTGGATAATATGGTTGATATAGTATATTCATGGCAGAATTTAACAGGAAACTATTACAATAAGCAAAAATTGGAAGGGGTATTCTTTTTTCTTTTGTTTGAAATACTGACTTTGCTACAGCAGAGATGCAAGTGTTTCCTACTTGCTGAACCCATAATCTAAAATCCCTCATCTACCCATCCTCAGATGACTACCCTGTACCCAGGTCTGTGTGCATGCATGTGGGGGAGGGGATGTGTGTGTGTTGTGTGCGTATGGAGGGGTATATGTGTGTGGGGTGTGTGTGTGTGTGTGTGTGGTGTGGGTATGTCTGTGTGTATGTGTGTGTACACACATGGGTGCACATTCATGTAGTCTCAGGTGTTGTTCCAAGGCACCATCTACTTTTCCCTTGAGATAGGGTTTCTTCCTGAAACTCACCACTTAACCAAGTAGTTTAGGCTAGCTGACCAGCAAACCACAGGAATCTGCCTGTCTCCACCTCCCCAGCAGTAGCATTGCAAGTGTTTACCATCACACCTAGATTTTCAGTGTGAGTTCTGGGGATCTAACTCAGGTCTTCATGTGGCAAGTACTTTACCAGGTGAACCATTTCCCAGTCCCAGTTTCTTTTTTTTTACGATTTTTAAAATTTTCATTATGTCTGTGGGTATATGTGTGAGTGTGTGCACACATGTTGTGGGAGGGTGCCTGTGGAGGCCGGAAGAGAGTTACAGGTGTTTGTGAGCTGCCCAACGTGAATGCCAGGATCTTTCTCATGAAAGAACCACTGAACCATCTCTTCAGCCCCCAGACTTCTGTTTTCTTTTTCTTTTCTTTTTTTAGTTTTATTTTTATTATTTTGAATGATGTGTATGTGTGTGTCTATGTGGGGATATGTACATGTGAGTAGGTGTCCACAGAGGCATCAGATGCCCTGGAGCTGGAGTAACAAAGTGGTTATGAGCTGCCTGACAAGGGTGCTTGGAACCAAACCTCAGGTCCTTTTGGAAGAGCAGCAAATGCTCTTAACTGCTAAGCCATCTCTCCAGCCCTCCAGATTTCTTAACAGTAACAGCTCTTTGCTATTACCATTATCCTTAAACTCAGTTATATCATTTTCATTTAAATATCCAAAAGCCAGTATCTAAAGGATCTATGACATTTACTAATGCTAATGTTTTTTTTTCTTCATAGTAAAACCTTGCTTTCTCTGATATCAAGAGAAGCATCATCATGTTCCTCCTTACCCTTAAGCAGTAGGTTTTTTTTCTCATAAAGGTTAACCACCTGAGTTGATGATTCTCAGTGGCATGTAATATAAAATGTAATTTGGACCAGTATCATTTTCATAATATTTAATACCGCCAAATGGCATTTGTGTGTGAAATAAGAATTGCTACTGCCCTGTATCTGTGTGTGGAATGTGTATCATGGCGTGACATACTTCGTTATGCTTTCCTGGGGCTATTTCTCATGAGTGTTTCCTTGGAGAAATTTGGAGAGGAAATACCTGAAGAATGAATTTCTGAGAAGTTTATATGAGGATATCACAATGTCCTACTATCAATAAAGTATGAGTCGTATGTTCTCCTGATTCTCCTGTGTGTGTGTGTGTGTGTGTGTGTGTGTGTGTGTGTGTGTGTGTGTGTGTGTGTGTAAAATGCTTATCATGTAGGGAAAGTTTATATGCTATACATGTAAGAATTCTTATATTAGTAAGCATTCAAATATTATTGTGCTTGGGGCTATGAAGATTATCAATTCATATTTTCCAATTACATAATCCAGTAGAGCCTAGGAATTTTTTAGATATAGCACTAATCATTTTTTTATTTTTAAAAAAATTTATTGTTTTTGTTCTATGTGTGTGATTGTATTGCTTACATGTATGTAAATGCACCTGTGTTGTGCAATGCTGACAGAGGACAGAAGAGGCTGCTGGATCCCCTGGAACTAGAGTTACATATGGTTGTTAGCCACCATGTAGGTGCTTGGAACTGAACCCAGGTTTTCTGCAAGAACAGCCAGTACTCTTAACTGTTGAGCCATCTCTCCAACCTTGAGAGAAAAATAAATCTTTTTTTTTATGTTTTTAATTCAGATGAATACTCCTACTTTGTATGTCAGCTTTCTGTACAGAGTACTAAAACTAGAGTTGGAGTTCTGGGGATTATTTGTAAGTGTGATTTGGCATTCCTATTGTAAATTTTATAAAGACATCTGTGCTCCATATCCTAGGTGCACCTGTCTGTAGCAAAGTATTAAAATCATGAAACAATGAAAAATAAGAATATTGAATTTTAATCTATGTATACTTATGAAACGTGTTTGAAGAGTTACAGAATAATCATATTTTTCTCCCTTCCTTCCCAGAGTTACCCCTGGACTACAAATTTACAAGATTCTCTTCAAATAATTCAAAAACAGCTGGTTACTATCCATTGGTCCATTATGGCTTGGGTTCTTGAAACATAGACAGCAAAATAATCTTTACTGAAAAATGAAGCATCTATGCAGCAGGATATTGATTAAAAATGTTGATTTTTCAAAAAACATTGTAAGATGCTTTATAGGAACAAGTTTTCGATGGAAAGTGACCAAATTGCTTATTTGTCAATAGGTCTTTTTATATAAATCGTTTTTATATAAATCATTTTGATGTTTAACAATTCTTGATCTATTAAAAGTTTTAGTATCCTAGACTAAAAAAAATAATATTACTGCTATTTTCTATACCAATAGTTTTGAGAATTCACCTGGGGTAATATGCATATACACATATGTAAACATGTCTTTATACATGTACCTAATCCAGCAGTTCTCAAAACATGGGCCAGGGCCTGATAGCATAGCAACTATAAGTTGGTCATGGAGATTTGAAGCCCCACTCAAAGCCTGTTGAATCAGAACCTCTGGATGTGGAGCCCAGCGATGTGCTTTAAACAAGCCTTACAATGGTTCTGCTTCTCAACTACAATTTGAGAACCAGTGAGTTATCCTTATCCCTGTGTTCCAGGGATAGATTTGAGTGAATAAACTAAGCTGAACCTCCATGTCTTTTTTGTGTTCTTATTGAAAAGTAGAACCAGCACGGAGGCCAACACCAGAATCTCATGAGACTCAGTTATTTTTTTCAAGCTTCAAGACTTTTGCTATTCCTGTTTTTCCTAAAATAAGGAAATAAAGAGACATGATTTCTTGAGATAATACATCCTTATTCCTTTGTTAATTTCCCCTGTTAGGGAGTTTAATTTATACTTACTAAATTTAACTTAAACTTTTGTCCTGGGAAAGGAGAGTAGTCAAAGGTTGAGAAAAATTGCTTTAAAGGGTTTTATCCAGAATCGTGTTCTGTGTGCTTTTGGTTGGTCACCTTAATGGCATTTGGATCAGATCATGTTTGTGCAAGCTGTTCGTACTCCGATGTTTCACTTCCTGGCTACCTTTATGCTTGTAACTTCACTGTCCACAATGAACAAGACCAGAAAACATTATTACTGTTTTTCCTGGGTGATAGCAGGAATTTAGCATTATTGACATATAGTGAAAAACTACATTGTTAAAATTTGCAAATGTTTAAGTAAATTCCAAACATATTATAGGGATGAGTATCTCAGGGTAATTAAAAGGCTATCATACTTTTCCCCTCAAAGTCAGTATTTTTTAATTCTGTCAATGTCTCCACGTACTTTGATGTATTTGATATCCAGAATGTCATTGGTGTATTATAATGAGCATAAATAATCAACCTTAGGGCCAAATAAAAGTTATCTCTTACATGCTTTCAGATTTAATTTTGCTTAAAAATAAAGCTATTTTTCCCTATGAGTGTTATTGTGTTGTGGAAAAGATTGCTTTTTAAAAATATTTTTACATTTATTTATTCATAAATAACTGTGTGTATATGTGTTAGTGTGCATGTGCGTGTGTGTGTGTGCGTGTGTGTGTATGTCTCAAATGATAAGGTACAAGAACAACTTTTGGGAAACATTCTTTCCCTCCACTGTGGGTCCTGGGAATTGAACTCAGGTTGTCAGGCTTAGCACTGGTCGCCTTGATCTGCTGAGCCATGTTGCCAGCCCAAGAATGCTTGCTTCAGCTTCAGTGCTTATAAACTGTTATTATAAAAAATGAAAAGCCGGGGTCTGGAGAGATGGCTCAGCAGTTAAGAGCACTGACTGCTCTTGCAGAGGACCCAGGTTCGATTTCCAGCACTCACATGGCGGCTACGAACCATCCTTAACTCCAGTTCCAGGGGAATCCGAAGCCCTCTTCTGACCTCCGCTGCATTGCAATGACACGGGTGCACTCACATACATGCAGACAATACACTCGTACACATAAAATAAAAATAATAAAATATTTTTTTAAAAAAAATGAAAAGCCAAGCTGGGTGTGGTGGCGCACACCTTGTGCCCGGCACTCCGGCGGCCAAGGCAGATGGATCTCTGTGAGATCAAGGCCAGCTTGGTCTACACAGAGAGAAACCTAAAAAATTTTAAATTACTTACTTATTTTGCTACTCTAGAGCACAGGGGGAAAACAAAAACAAAATCCCTCAAGTCAAAAGCTCTGTTCCTACTTTTGCCTGTTCCCACCCACCGACCCAGAACCAAGCTGTCACTTCATTTGACTGCAACTTTTCCATCGTACAAAGAAAAACTGGAGTTTTAAAGTTTCCATCCATCTGTCTAGCATGTCACTGCTAACTCTACTGAGTTTTGTTACGCTAAATCTAGGCTTTTTTAAAATAAATAATTTATTGAGAATTTCATACATACATACAAGGTGTTTTGATCAAATCCATGTCCACTCCCTCCCCTCCAACTTCTCCCATATCACCCCATCACTTTTATCTGATAACTTCATTTCTCTTTCTTCTTCTTTGATTTACTTATTTGCTTTTATGGGACTTTTGGCTACTCTAACATTACCCCCCTCTGAAGAGGTAACCCAAAAATCTTTTAAGGATTAGATACAAGATACAAGCTCCCAAATACTTTCTCAACATTTTTGGCCTTTGGAACAGAGTTTGTTGCTAAGAGGCCCACAGACATTTTGACTTTTAGCCAAGAAACTGGCTACTTTTCTTTGGGGTCTTTTTACCCTAACTGCCTAGCCAATTCCTACCTCCTAAATTTATTTCATGGTTTATAAAAAGTGCCAGTGTTTAACTGGGTAAGAACAGTAAAACTGGAACTGGCAAGATGACTTAGTGGCCAAAAGTGGTAACTGCAGAAGTCTGACGACCTGCCCTTGATCCCTGGACTCCATGTCAAGATGGAAGGAAAGAACTGGCTTCGGAAAGTTGCTTCTGACCTCCACATATGTGCTGTGGTACACACACACACACACACACACACACACACACACACACACCATATGTATATACACTACAATAATTTTTTTAAATTAAGTATAAAAATAAAACTAGCACCATAAAAATTAAGATGAGCTGTTTCTTTTTTATTGTATTATTTTTATTTATGTGTGTATGTGTGTGCTTGCCTGTCTGAATGTGTACCACATACATGTAGATGCACATGGAGGCAAGAATCGAGCATCTGAGTCCCTGAAGCTGGATTGCAGGTGGTTGTGAATCAGCTGATGTCCTCTGCAAGAGCAGTAAGTGTGCTTAAATGCTGAGCCATGTCTCTAACCTCTGTTTATTCTTTAATACAGTTGTATGAATTAAGAAAGCAGGAAACTTTCTAATATCAACCAATGTTTGTTTTTTTATGATAACTGAAGGACTGATACTTTTATCCCTTAACAATACTGTTGTTGTCAATGGACAACTATTTGTGTGCCATCCCTCTCTACATTTGTGTCAACAATATCTCCCTTGGTCTGTCTTTTCTTAAAAGGCTTAAGATGGACTTCTGGAAGAATTAATCATCATAAGGATCTGTGAGCACTTAATTCTTCTCCTACAACATATGGTACTTTAAAATAAATACTCAATGGTGCACACCTGTACCCATAATACTTAAGGAGGTTAAAGCTGGAGAATCAAGAGTTGGAGGCCAGGTGGCTAGAGAAATGTTTCAGCTGTTAAGAGCACTGGCTGCTCTTATTGAGGACCCAGACTCTGGGTGTTGTTTCCAGCACCCACATGGCAACTAACAACCTTCCAGTTCCAGGGAATCCAACTCCCTCTTCCAGCCTCTGCAGCCATTGCATGACAAATACATACAGGTGCAGTGTAAATACATACACTGTGTGCAGTATAAATACATACAGGCAAACACTCATACACATAAAATAAAAATAAAATTTTAAATGTTAAATGAAGCATGTAGCCAGCCTGGGCTACATACAGAGTTAGATCCTATCTCGAGTAAAAACAAAATGACAACAAAAAACAATACCCAAAATGGGGACATGTGATATATGAAATATATCTAGACACCTGACAAAAGATGACAATGTCACTTACCAGATATGACACTTTCCCAGTCAATCACTATTTCATAAATGTTTAGGGGATACTTAGATATTATTTAATGAGGATTTGGATGCGGTTAGCTCTATGCAAATAAATAACCAAATGTTTTTAGCCACCTAGCAAAAATTTGACAAATGAACCAAAATTTCTGATGAATTTAAACAATTAATTATATACTGAAGAAAAACTGCTGCCTCTTGGTGCCGTTCTCGCAAATTTTGCTTGCTAAAGTGTGAGTTTTTCTAGACTCAGAGACTTAAGAACTGGTTTTCTTTTCCAAGTGAAAAAATCTGCTGCAGTCTTTATCCCTTTTTCCTGTTCTAGGCATAATCAGAAAATGTCATTATTTTCTGTCAATTTATTTTCAGCTTTAGTCTAACCAGAAGTGTTCTAACAGTGCCACTCATTTGGTGCAGATTAACATGGTTTCTGTTCTGCTTAGGCACTAAAACTAATTAGCCTCAGAGAGCCTTCAGAGGTCACTGGTTCCTTCAGCTGGTTCATTCCAACAGCCCTGCCTACCCGTCCCTGCTCCTCCTCCTCCTGCTCGGCCCCTGCTCCTCCTCCTGCCCCTGCCCCTCCTCCTGCTCCTGCTCCTCCTGCCCCTGCCCCTCCTGCTGCCCCTGCCCCTCCTCCTGCTCCGCCTCCTGCCCCTGCCCCTCCTCCTGTTCCTCCTCCTCCTGCCCCTCCTCCTGCCCCTGCCCCTCCTCCTGCTCCTCCTCCTGCCCCTCCTCCTCCTGCCCCTGCCCCTCCTCCTGCTCCTCCTCCTGCCCCTCCTCCTCCTGCCCCTGCCCCTCCTCCTGCTCCTCCTCCTGCCCCTGCTCCTCCTGCCCCTCCTCCTGCTCCTCCTCCTCCTGCCCCTGCTCCTCCTCCTGCTCCTCCTCCTGCCTCTGCCTCTCCTCCTACCCCTGCCCCTCCTCCTGCTCCTCCTCCTCCTGCTCCTCCTCCTGCCCCTGCCCCTCCTCCTGCTCCTCCTCCTCCTGCTCCTGCTCCTCCTCCTCCTGCCCCTCCTGCTCCTCCTCCTCCTGCCCCTGCCCTGGTGCTCTTCCTTCTGCCCCTGCTTCTCCTGCTCCATTTCTTTTATTTTTGCTCCCTCAGTTTCAGATCCTAGTTATCTCTTCTCCTGTTTTGGGTTTTTCTTTTTTTTGGTTTTGTTTTGTTTTGTTTTTAGATAGTCTTAATATACAGTATACAGCAGCTCAGGCTAGGCTGCCTGTGAAACTGCTTTAAGCCCAACCAGGCCTCAAACTCAGATTCTCCTCCCTCAGGTTCCCAAGTGTTGCTATCACTCCCAGTCCCCGTCCCCCCCCACCCCCACCAGTTATGCTCTATCCAGACCTCCAAACCAGTTCAGTCTCTCATCTGGTGGTGACCAAAAAAAAATCTTACCATTTTGGTCTTCTCGGGTTATGTGGCCCTGTGCATAGGAGAGAAAGGATCATTTCTTAACCTTGTATTAACTTAGACAACACAGCACTTTTTATTCGTTTTTATTTTGGTGAAAACAAGAAACATAACAATGACATATTTTATTTTTCCTTCAAGCACATCAGAGAAGACAAAGTACTAATGACCCTCGTTTAGCTGACAACAATTCTGTTGGTCCTTACACTGATTAGGAACATAATGTCAAGTATTACTACAGCAAGAAATATCAAGTAAGACAGGTTACATTTTTTCTTTTTGAAATTACTTTTACAAGACAAAGCAACAATTTGCAAAATCTTCAAACTTCAAGATCACATTATTTGAATTTTATTTCTAAGAATACAGCTATATTATGAACAGACACCAAAACAAGTTAATCTATTAATGAATATTCACAGAATTCTTCATACTGCACAGGACAGAAATTTGAAATTTTGCCACTTGTTCTCTATTACAAGCAAAAAGCAGACTTGTAAACATCAATTTTACCAGTAGGCTGAAATGGAGAAAGGGAATAATAGGATTTTAGTCAAGCACAGTGAAATAATATGTACCATTAATCTCCCACAGACATAAAGGTCACTCCTAGATTCATAAGAGAACATCAAGACTTGCCTTTATTAAAAAAAAAAAAAATGTGGTGAATTTGAGGAGTTAGGAAGAACTGAAGGAAAAGCCTCTGCAAGCATCCTTTTCGAACATCAAGCCTCTGCTGGGCAGTGCCTCAGGGACCCTGCCCCCACCCCTGCTCCTACTGTTTCAGTCTTCACTGCAGGTCTAGCAAACCTCACTCCCCAGCACGCTTGCTTTTGCTTCTAGCCCTCTACTTACATTCCCAGCCTGGAGCACCCCTCCCTCCACTGACTACCCAAACCTCCTTAGCCCTGGGAGAGCCTTGGGCAAGTCCTTCAAGTCAGAAGGGTGAGGGCCTAAGGTCACTGTGCACCCTGACAACTAAGATCCCTAACAGCACTGCTGCTCACCTACTGGAATGCAGACACCACACATAACCTTATCCCTCAGAAGAGGCTTGGGATCTCCGACAATGCACACTACAGCCCGCTTCCTTTTTAGTTAGGCTTGAAACAAGGAAGGAAATTCAATAGCTGACAAGTGAGGACCAAGGCCAGGCAATAGGACAAGGATGCCCCACATGCTGCCTGGTCATTTCTACAGTCCAAAGCCCCCACAAAGTATTGCTATCTTTAGAAACCTGGAAGGAAGGGAAGTTGCAGTTGCTTTAGCTCCCATCCTGCTCAGAGTCTGCTTGAGCCTAGCATTGAGGCCCTTCTCCCAGATTTTCAAACTCGAGCTCAAGAAGCATAGGGGGGTGGGGGTGGGGTGGAGATGGTCTCCCGGTGAAATACTCAGATGTTGGTGAAATAAGGGTGGAACAGGAGGGCAGTAAGAGACCTGGAGTCTTTTCCTCCCTGGACACAACCAAGGCAAGAGCACACTACAGGGCCTGCTGGGATGTTTGTTTTCTGTGTCTGAGCAGTAAATGCTTCAGAGAGAAAGGGAGGGAAGGAAAGGGGGAGGAAAAAAGAAGAGCTGAAGAAAGACAGCCATAGCAAGCCCTATGTCCCAAGCCAGGCAACTTTGACTTCATCAGAGGAGGTGTAGAAAGAGGAAAAGGAGGGTTCCCTAACAGAGTTGCCTGGATTCTGGGTAATCTGTTGGCTAGGGCTCACAAAAAACAACTGCTGGAAGGGAGCCATTCCAGCTTTACTTTGGGCAGTGCCATATGTGACTGCCCCCAAAGCAGTTATGGGTAATCACAGGGTAGGGGGTCCTGTGTGCTGCCTAGGAACTAAGGTTCACAGAACAGTGGTGGCCTGTGCAAAGCTCAACCAGGAGAGAACAAGTGGTGAATACTAGCAAGGCTTTCATACTCACCAGTAGCTGATCACGATGCACAGTAACCAAAGGTACAAGACCAATGTGGTAACATAAAACACTCATCTGTCACTTCATGGCTAGTAGTCACCCGCCAGCCACCTGCTTGTTGTACCAGATAACAAGCAGGATGGACAGCAAAAGCCCAGGAAGGCAGCCTGTCAGTTAGTGACAGTCTGGAATGTCCAGTTTGAGTTGATGGCTGGGTTGGGATACAGTTTCATCTTGCAGTGCTGAAACTCAGGGCATGTCACAGTACATGGATATCAGGAACACAGTCGGCAGACATGATGAAGCCTGGCTAGTTCTTGGTAAAGATGTGTCAAGCTTCCTTGTGGTAGAGAACCACTTAAAACACTGGAAGAAGACCACGGTCACAGACAGGAACCAAGCCATGCAAAGGAAAGCAGTCCGTATCTACAGCATCGAGCTTGGCACAGAAGCAGTTTGAAGGCCATGCACTTGGAACACGTGAACACTATGCAGAACAGCGTGATGGCCCAGAGAAAGAGCAGAGACCTGTAAGTCACAATCTTGAAGCTACTGAAGACTTACAAGAACCGAAGGACACAATTCAGTACGAAGAGAAAGCAGACAGAGGCTGCATGCTGCTGGCCAAGCAGAGGAGGTGGTAAGGAGACTTCTGCAGGAGGTTCTCGAAGGAGCACAGCTTAGCCGGACTGGAACCTGAAGGACCTGGGACTCTCCACCGGCTGCCTGGGTGGGCCGCGAGCGCCTCTGCGGGGCCCATCGCCCATCAGGTAGTATTGTAGTGGATTGGACCACAGCTCCCCTTTGATGATTTCAGCTATTCTATCGAATTCTAGGAGGCTGTGGTCTGAGAACCAGTTGAAGAAACTGGGAATCGTGTTCCCTTCCCGATTCCTGTGGATGTGGGCCTGGGGGTCTTGGCCCCGGTGCCAGCGGATTGGAGTAGAGAGCGACACCACGCGGCCAGAGGACCTGCGCTCATACTCCTTGACGAGCCCCTCATTTCGGAAGTAGGGGTTGCTCTGAAAGATGAACTTGAATTTGCAGCCTGCTCTCGGATGCTTAAGTTCCTCCACCTCCAAATTGATCATATACCTCATCATGTCTTCATCTTGGCCACTGATCATAGGCGACAGCTGGGGGTGGTTCCGAAAAGCGGTGACCCAGAAACCTGGGATATTTTGGATGATGAAACTCCGGCGCTGCATATGGAGCCTTCGCATCCGCCCGAACTTGCGTTCTAACTGCAGGAAGGCCCTGTCGGCCTGGGCATTTACGTTTGACAGCTCTTGATCGATGGCCTCCAGGGAGTCCATGCAAGTATTGATCTTCGGGGCCCTGGGACGAGCCTCCTCCCTCCCTCCTCCAGCCACCTTTTTTTCCTTCGGCACCACCTTCTTTTCCTGCATCACTGCCCCTGCCTCTCCCTCCTTTTCCGCAGCCGCAGGGATGGCGCACTTGGTAGCCTTAGCTTCCTTGGCCTTCGCCCCCGCCATCATCTCAGACCCCAGGCCCACCGCACCACAGGCTTCCAGAGCCTTCGGTCCAGCAGGGCTGCCCGGCCCTCCAAGCTGACAGCCATTTTTATTGCTGTAGTCGGCTGCCTCAGAGGCAGAGGCTGCGTCCTCGCCCTTGGATGGAAACAGAGCATCTTCCAGCCCCGCTTCGGCTGCTGCACCTCCGCGATTCCCTGCCGCTCCGAGGCCGAGCGCGGGGCCGCAGTCCTCGGAATCCCGGGGCGCGCCTCCCTCTGCAGCGGCCTCGGGGCTGCCCTCACCTGCATCCGCCATCGCCCGGACCGCGTCGGTTTCCTCGCGGAGCCCCTCGCCCTGCTTTAGGTCGAGTTCTCCTGGGGCATGGTCAGGGGTCGTGGTGTTCGAGACGGGGAGCTTGTTGCCCCCATCCAGGCCGCTCATTTTGGAAGATGTCAGACCTGCAAAGGAGCGTTCCTTGTCCTCTGCAGATGCTGCGCTCCGCCGCAGTCAGTGCCTAGCTCCACCCCTTTTCCTCCAGGGCTGGTGCTACCATGGTAACTGGTGACGTCAGGGTAGCAGCATCTAACCATCGCGCGAGAACTCACTGCCCAGGTAATTAGGCTTGTCAATCAAGAGCATTCTTTTTGTCTTGTTTCATGATGCTGTGAATTGAATCTTATCAGGAAAATTGCATTGATTTACATAAATGGATGTAGGACTCTATTAATGTGGATCCGTAAGCTTCCGGGTTAATTTCGAAGGCATCTAAACCATTGTCTCGAAATATTCACTTAATAGAAGCTATTGTCTAATAAGCTCGTCGAGCGTTTCATAAATAGAAAAGCGAATTCACAGGCATTTCTTATTTCAGATACAAATGTGTGAGTGTTACTAAGGATTTGAGCAGACTCTGATTTTTAAAGAGAAATGAAATGTTGTGAGGTTTTAAATTAAAATCATCCAAAGGGAAACCTGTCTCATTCAGATAACACAACAACAAAAAAGCGGGGCTTATTTCGATTTTTTTTAGAGATTTTGAAATATGTATACTTTGGCCAGTGTCTATGAAGCAATTGAACAATATTTCTTGAGGTTTAACAGAGAAAATGCTTGCAGCTGTCCACACGCACACCACGTGCACACATTTAGCCTTTAGGTATTATGAAGGAAATGTAATCTCAGAGAATTTTAATATCTAAAGTGATGCATATTAATCCTACTTTCCCTCGGTTGATAATCTTAATTTTTGCTTCATAATGCTGGTGGGCGTGTAGCCAGGAAACATCTGCCCAAATTTGCTCTTGTGCTAATTCACTACGCTATAGAAATGATTATCAGCTATTTTCAGACACCTAAGTTATTGTCTTTTTAAAATATTTCCCTAAAAAAAAGAAAGGTCATTCGGCAAATCAACTTAGAGAAGGTATTTGTTATCACTACTATATATTGGTTTGCTAGAGTCTGAAAATTCTGGTGTAAATCCTTAAGCATAAGGCAAGACCAAAAGAGATTTATATTTTGCATTTTTAACGTTTCAGTTCATTTCAGAACAAAGCTTTAGAGCTCTTTGTCATAGAAAAATCCATTTAACCTCCCCAAAGTATGATCACATTCAAATAAGGGTTTGGGAATAGGAATTTAAAGAAAAACAGCATTATTATAGGCCCTCTAGTGAGGGAAATAGTGTAGACCCGGTTCAACTAAGACCTGAGTGGTGAGATACTGACCTGTACTGTATCAAATGCCAAAGAAGCTTCTGACTGGGCAGCCATGTTCATCTAGCTGGGGTGAGGAGAACGTCTTCCTGAAACTACCAAGCAAATTAACAAGTAAAAGATAGGCGGACAACACTAAGAAACAGCCTGTTATGCAGTCGGATTTTTTTCTCCGTTTTATTCCTACTTGAGTATCCTGACTCAGACAGCAGTTTATCCAGACTGACTCTTTCTGCCAGGTCATCAGCTACTCTCACAGAAAAATGTACAAACAAGATTAGCTCCATAGACAGCAAGTATTTTTCTCTGCCCCTCTTTCCTTGTTGCCTTATTGAGGTGAAACTAGTGTTGGTTTTACTTTCATTGTAAACAAGCAAACACTGTATTATAATTGACTGGGTTATTCTATAGCATTACATGGGTTCTTTTCTAAAAGAATTTTTACACTTTTGAAGGAGTAATGCTCTTGGACTTTAACCCAAACCAAGAGGCAAAGAAGCATCAAAGGCTTAACCAAGTTACATTGCAATGCAGGAGGAAGAAAGAAATTTACTGTTTTCAAACCTTAAGAAATTAGAAAATTACATGTGAACTTCTTTCTCTTGAATTTCAATTTTTTAAAGATTTAACTCTCTACTACTGGAAAGGACCCTGTTTCCAACTTTGATTTGATTATTCTTGTCACCTGAATTATTTTTTCACTCCTAACAGCCTTCCTCATCTTTAAATACCTACATAGATTGTACTGGGCATTTAAAATGCATGCAGTTCCATAACCAAGAACCCAGGAAGTGCCCAGAAGCTAACTCGTCTGTGGTAGGATGTGTGCTAATGACAAATCATCTCTTGTTTTGTGTGTGTTTCCTTAAGGACCTTATCATTCTGTTAGTGCTTTAAATTTCTATAGTTCATGTGACTTTTAACACCACATTTAGGACTTACCTACCTTTTACTTAACTTTTCTTGATTCTTTCCTGAAAGCCATTCCCTTCCTCCCAGCTCCACCACAATGGCTGCCTAGCACACTGCTTCTTTGGCATTTAATATGGTACAAGTCAGTATCATACAGGATGGTTTAAGAAAACCTGATGATTCAAGTGAAATGTTTAATTTAAATGAAAAGTTCCAAAAGGTTTTTACCAAAATGAATAGCTTGACTCTCCTGGTGTTTGAGTTGGGTGGATGTAGCTATGAATCATATCTTAAGTTTGGAGCACATTAGAAGATTGGACATTTTCTTTTTTAATTTATTATCTTTATTTTATGTGTATGTGTGTACTACCTGTATGTAGGTAAGTGCACCCGTGTCATGCTATGCCCACGGAGGTCAGAGAGGCTGCCAGAGCCCCTGGGACTGGAGTTCGGACAGTTGTTAGCTGCCATGTGGGTGCTGGGATTCGAACCCAGGTCTTCTGCAAGAACAACCTGTGTTCTTAACCACCAAGCCATCACTCCAGCCCGGAAGATTGGACATTTCTACACAATAGAGCCTGTTCTGCTGGCAATTGGCAATGAAACTCACTCTACTGAAAATGATGTCAATAGTGTGATTCTATGGGAAATAACCTAGAAAATGCTATGAAAATCCATGAGGTAATTTTCATTTACTAGGATATAACAGAAGTCCAAACATAACAGTCCAATAGAAATTTTACTAAAGTATATGTTAGATATTAGAAAATGTATGAAATAGTCCCTTTATGTTCATTTGAACAACAGTTTATTTTTCATAAAAATATTATTTCTGGTTACATGTGCTAGTATTTCTGGTTACATGCAGCTTATATTTAATTAGTGCTCTTGGATACCATATACATTTACATTCTTAAATATATGCCCTCCATTTCACCTCAGATGCAACTGAAGCAAAGAGAATTAAGATTTAAGATCACAAATAGTGGAGTCATGGCCTGAACCCATGTAGTACTCAGTAGCCTGTGTACTCATTAACGATACTACTCTGAAAACCTTCACAATATATCAATTAAGAAGGCCCTTTTTAAAAAAATAAGACCAGGGCTGTACTGATGGCTCAGCAGTTAAGAGCATTGGCTGCTCTTGCAGGTGACTCAGATTCAAATCTCAGCACCCACATGATGGCTAACAACCATCTGTAACTCCAGTTCCAGGGGATTCAACGCCCCCTTCTGACCATGGGCACAGCACTACATAGGTACACTTACATACATCCAGGCATAACACTCATACACATAAAAAATAAATAATAAAGTATAAAAAATAAAAAAATAAGACCATACGGCCATCTCAATTGTATGTTAAATCTTTTAATCTTCGTAGCTCCCTACTTTAATCATTCCAAGCAGCTATAACAAGATACTTTAGGCCGGGTGAATTATAAACAACAGAAATTTAGCTCTCAGAGTTCTGGAGACTAGGAAGCCAAAGGTGGAGGAGCCAGCAGATTCAGTGTCTGGTGAAGACCTGCCTGCTGCTTCATAAATAGCACTTTTTGTTGTGTCCTCACATGAAGAGAAGAGGACCTCATTGGGGACTCTGGTTATAGTGGCACTAATCCTATTAATGTCCTTACCTGAGGCCTCATAAGCACACTAATTGCTTCACAAAGGCCCTACCTCCAACCTAGCCTCATGTCGGGGCTTAGGTTTCAACATATTAATGGAGGGGTATAAATATTAAATCTTTGGCATCCAATCTCCCCATAAAATTAATGATAATTATTGGGATGCACCCATTTCCAAAAGAGAAAAAGTGAATGATCCTCTATTTCAATACATTCATACTTTCCAATTTATCTAACATTCATTTTTAAAAAACAAATATTTTATGACTTCTATCTTGAAATTCTGATCATATACTATCATATAATGTTTTATTATTTCTTATTTTTATCTTTACATATATGATGTATTGCTTGCATGTATGCAAGTACACCCATCTCTGAAGAGACCATTGAATTCCCCTGGAACTGAAGTTATGTATGATTGTTCGCTGCCCTGTGGATGCTGGGAATTTAACCCAGGCCCTCTGCATGATCAGCCACCACTCTTAACCACTGAGCCATCTCTCCAGCTCCCATATATAATGTTTTAATCAATCTAAGATCTTAGTTGTAATTTCAATGAAAAAATGAAAGGAATTTTAAAATATGTATTTCAATATGTAAATGCTTTGGCATACATATCCTTAATGATATGAGGAAATAGTTAGATGGAAATAGTTATAGATATGGAGTCATCAGCGTGTGGCATTGCTGTTACAACCTAAGCCACAGGGATTATACTAGAGACAGAAGTACCAGTGCTTGATGTGGTGAAAGTTTCTGAAATGATGAGCATCTTTGTAAAAAAATTCTGGAGATAGTTTCCACAATTTGCGTGGTCCATATCCCTTCAGTTTGAAAGCACACTTCTATTTTAGCATCCCTAAGATGACTGTTCATGATATAATTAATGAAACCTTGCAACTGTTGTCAGAAGAATGACATTCAGAGTGTATTTGTCATTGTCTGGGCATGCATGGATGTGACTGTAGTCTTTTGGTATAGCTGGACAGCTGCAACCTCTTGACATTTCAATCAGCAAACTTGTTAAAAACCGTTTGAGGTAGGACAATGAGTATCATTTGTTCTCTGTGTACCTTTTTTGGTATCTCCAGGTAAGATCAAGAAGGCATCAGCAGCAAAATTTGCAAATTGACTGTAGTGACCTAGGAAAGAAATCTCAGAAGAGATTTTTATCTGAGATTTTTTTACACTTTTCTAAGTATCAGGACATCCTGGGGCTGGAGAAATGGCTCAGAAATTAAGAGCACTGGCTGCTCTTGCAAAGGACCCAGGTTTGATTCTCAGCACCGATG